CTAAAGGGGACAAAAAGATAGAAAACATCCAGGCCATGGAAAAACCTGGGTAGCCACAGCCACTCAAGAGGGAGAGGTTTTTAAGTGCCAGGAAGGAAAAAAAATGGCAGGAAATGGCAGAAATCGTACACCAAATCCAGTCATTCCTGGAGTGGAACCACAGTCGATGGCCTCCACTCCAAACCAACAGATACAGATACTAATGCCGGAACCCCCCCCCCCCCCCAGTACCAACAATACCACCAGTCTGATGACATTCTTCTTTGCAAATATACAGGGTCTAAAGCCAGCAACAAACAACAAAATACCTTTCATCCGTGGACTGCTTGCAGAGGCAAAGGCAATGTTTGCGGCTTTCACTGAGACCCACATAAAGGATCACTTGGACAACGAAATATGGATCCCAGGTTACAACCTATGCAGATGTGACAGAGTGAACAGGCAAAAGGGGGGGGGGGGGTTTGGCCTGTACATTGCAGAGTCACTTGTTTACACAGAACTGCTTAATGCCTAAAATGATGTAGTGGAAGTTTTAGCAGTAAAGGTCGAGAACCAAAACCTAGTCATTGTGGTAGTCTACAAGCCTCCGGATGCAACATCCCAGCAATTCCAGGAACAGCTGTTAAAAATTGACCACTGTCTGGAAAATCTTCCAGCTCCTGCACCAAACATCTTGCTCCTGGGGGATTTCAACTTAAGGCACCTAAAATGGAGGAATATAGCAAATAATATTGTTGCAGTAATAACACCAGGAGGCAGCTCTGATGAAAACTCACACTCACACGAGCTTTTAAATCTCTGCACAAAATTCAATTTAAACCAGCAAATAATAGAGCCTACTAGACTGGAGAATACACTAGACCTCATCTTCACTAACAATGATGATCTGATAAGAAATGTCACCATATCAAAAACAATATACTCAGATCACAACATAATTGAGGTTCAGACATGTATGCGTGGAGCCCCAGACCGACTTTAATGAGACTAGTCACGAGGGAGCATTCACCAAATTCAACTTCAATAACAAAAACATAAAGTGGGACAAGTAAACCAATTTCCTAACCGATATAAGCTGGGAAGATATACTAAGCAACACAGACCCCAACTTATCCCCTAGAACAGATTAACTTGGTGGCACTCGATGTATGAACAAGGCCCTTTTTCCTCTAAGAAAAAGGAGGAGTAGAAAAAGTAAAATAGAAAGAGACAGGCGCTCCCCTTTTCAGGCGACGGAAAAGAATAACAGAGCGGCTAAAAGATGTCAATATATCTGAAATGCGTAGGGGACCCCTGGTTTAGAGAAATAGCAAGCATTCGAATTTAAGCTAAAGGAATCTTATAGGAGCAGGAATCACGGGAAGAACTAGGAAGAAATAAATGAAAAACGAAAGAAACCCAAAGATTTCTTCTCCTATGCAAATCAAAGTCGAGAACAACGCCAGTATTGGGCCCCTATTTAAACAAGATGGGTCCTCACGTGACAGCAGGAAATGAGTGAGCTACTCAAGTCCCATATGACTCAGTTTTTAGAAGCCGTAACAGGACTGAGAGTCGAAGATCAAAATTAATTTTTTATGAGAGAGGCACAAAATTTGGTTAAACAAGCCTATCCATGTTTCCTGATGCCAAATGACTTCGAACAGGCGATAAATGACATGCCCATGCACTTGCCTCAGGGCCAGATCATGGAACTCTGTGTTCATCAAGAACTGCAAGAGCCCTATCCGAGCCTTTTCCATCCTTGGAGAGGGAGCATGGAAACACGGGGTGTTCCCACAGTTACTAAAAAAAACAGACAAGCCCACCCCAAACAAAGGGGGCAGTTAAAGCAACCAGCAAAGAACTACAGACCGATAGCATAACATCCCATATCATAAAATCTTTGAAAGGGTCTAAGAAGCAAGATCACCACCATCTAGAACCTTTCAGTTCCCACAACCAGGGCAACTTTGGGTTTAGAACAGGTCGCTCCTGTCTGTCTCAACTATTGGACATTACGACAAGGTCCTAAATGAAACTAGAAGACAAAAAGAATGCAGATGTAATATATTACAGACTTTGCAAAAGCCTTCAACAAGTGTGACCAGGGCGTAATAGCGCAACAAAATGTGTGCTAAAGGAATAACAGAAAAGTCAGCGATGGATCTAAAATTTCCTCACTAAACAGAAACAGAGAGTAGTCGTCAACAGGGTAAAGTCTGAGGCAGCTACGGTGAAAAGCTCTGTTCCACAAGGCACAGTACTCGCTCCCATCTTGTTCCTCAATCCTCGTATCTGACATAGACAAGGATTTCAGCCACAGCACCGTGTCTTCCTTTGCAGTTGACACCCGAATCTGCATGACAGTGTCTTCCATTGCAGAACACTGCAAGGCTCCAGGCGGACATCAACCAAATCTTTCAGTGGGCTGCAGAAAACAATATGAAGTTCAACGAGAGAAATTCAATTACTCAGATATGGTAAACACGAGGGAAATTAAATCTTCATCAGAGTACAAAACAAATTCTGGCCACAAAATAGAGCAAAACACCAACTTTCCAAAGACCTGGGAGTGATCAGGGTCGGAGGATCTCACCTTCAAGGACCATAACATTGTATCAATCGCATCTGCTAGAAAAATGACAGGATGGAAAAATGAGAACCTTCAAAACTAGGGAGGCCAAGCCCATGATGACACTCTTCAGGTCACTTGTTCTATCTAGGCTGGAATATTGCTGCACACTAACTGCACCTTTCAAGGCAGGTGAAATTGCTGACCTAGAAAATGTACAGAGAACCTTCACGGCGCGCAAAAGGAGATAAAACACCTCAATTACTGGGAGCGCTTGAGGTTCCTAAAACTGTATTCCTTGGAAGAGGCGGGAGAGATACATGATTATATACACCGGGAAAATCCTAGAGGGACTAGTACCAAAATTGCACACGAAAATCACTCACTACGAAAGCAAAAGACTTGGCATACGATGCAAACATCCCCAATGAAAAGCAGGGTGTCACTAGCACGTTAAGAGACCATACAATAAGTGTCAGGGGCCCGACACTGTTCAACTGCCTCCCAGCATACATAAGGGGGATTACCAACAGACCCCTGGCAGTCTTCAAGCTGGCACTGGACAAGCACCTAAAGTCGGTTCCTGACCAGCCGGGCTGTGGTTCGTACGTTGGTTTGCGTGCAGCCAGCAGTAACAGCCTGGTTGATCAGGCTCTGATCCACCAGGAGGCCTGGTCACAGACCGGGCCGCGGGGGCGTTGACCCCCGGAACTCTCTCCAGGTAAACTCCAGGTAAACAACAGAAGAGCATCTTACAGGCAGATTTTCTCTTGACCTACAACAAGTGTTAGCCTTCCCCAAAAGACAGTTAATGAGAGGCATTTGGAGAGTGGATTGAAAACATGTCGTCCCAGAAAGAAGCCACGATTTACTGAGCCTATGATATGGAAATGTTTAGTCTGGGTTAAGAATCACAGTGAGTGCATTTCTGAACAATGGGAGTAGGTAAGATTTACATTTAGTTATTCATTTCATTTGTTGTTCACAAAAGAACATTAATAATTAGTTAAATGACAATTCTATTTGAAAATATTTAGATTTCCATTTGGCTTCTTTAGTTGTTCCACCACTTTATTCTCTCTTCTTTTGTTGCAAGTGGTGTTCTCTGTTGAATCATCCATTGCAGTGCTGGATGACCATGTGCTAACCATAAGAAGGCAGTCAGGTGGGGAATTTATGTTTGAATGTCTGAAGAAGACAGTCAAAGTTCCTCAGAAAATCATTGTGTAGGGAGCCATTTCTGTTCATGGAACAAATCGTATGCACATTGTTGAGGGTACCATGAACCAGGTAAAGTCTGTAGAAGTACTACAATGCCAGTTATTGCCTTAGATAAGGGATTGGTATGGTGATGGATGTTGGATGTTCCAACAAATCACAGCTCTATATCACACGGCAAAATCAATAAAGATGGAGTGTGCACAAACTGGCATTGAGCTGCTCCCATGGGCTGGAAATTCCCCAGACATGAATGCTATTGAGAGTTTATGGTCTGTATTGAAGGATGAAATACACAAAGTTCCCATTACAGAGTGCAACTCAGATCGTCTTGTTAAGATTTGGTTTCATTCTGCCAGAATCAAGGAATTATGCTACGAGTGGTCAAACCAAATATTAATCAATGTAAAATAGTTGGCATGTACTTATGTATCAAAATAAATCCATTAGCAATCAGTGAAATTGGTTTAATTGATCTTTTAGTAGAAAAATATAAAATTTAAAAAAATCCATGATAATTATTCCAGTACTGTATATTACTGTAATAGGGAGGAATGGGTGCCTGATAATGGTGCTTATGGTGAATAGTAATATTGTTTTGTTGTGATTGTAACAATAATGAGTAGTTGTGTAACCAATGAGCTTTGCCATTACTTTTTGACTCGGTTAACCCAGCAGATTTTGTTTCATGTTTCATTAAATTGAGTTATGGTAAGTAAGACACATGTGAAACAGTTAGGTATCTTTATCTGAAAAGTTTTGCCTACACAGGCTTCTTCAGTCGAATACAGAAAAGTTGGCAGAAGTAGAAGAGATGTGAAAACGATGTAATCAGCCCATTACCCTTGAAGACGTAATTTTGAGATGGTCAGCCCCTCAGCCTGGAGAAGAGATTTTGTTTAATAATCTGAAACACTTCTACTCCTCCTGCCAACTTTTCCATACTCGACTGAAGAAGCCTACTTTGTAGGTGAAACATTTTGGATCAAGATACCTAACTGTTGTACATATGTCTTACTTACCAACCTGTTGGTACTGTATACCATTTTAATATTCATATTGATTCATGTTAAATTGAGGTCTGTTAAATTGAGTCATGTTAAATTGAGTCATGTTAAATTGAGGTCTGTTAAATTGAGGTCTGTTAAATTGAATCATGTTAAATTGAGGTCTGTTAAATTGACGATTTACTGTAATTTTATTCTTCTACCCTATGATCTTGTTTCAGGTCACCTCCTCTTATACTGACCATTGGAGAAACGCCTTTGGAATCTGAGGGAAAGAAAGCTCTGGAGACGATCAATAGAGCCATGGGAGAAGTGTTCGCTCTTGTTACTTTCCCTTTTACCTGCTTCACCTTATTCCTTCATCATCTGTTAAGGTAATGCCATCATTAGGTACATCCAAACTTATAAATACTCAAGGTTATACACATCTTCACTTACAAAAAATCAAAGTTATACACATCTTCACTTACAAAAATTCAGTCATATACATCTTCACTTATAGATGTTCTGATTTACTCATCTGCACTTACAAATGCCACAAGTTAAACACATTCATACTTAAAAATACAGCATATCTCTACTTAAAATAAACTTACACACATCCACACTTACAAGTTTTACAGTTGCTGAGCAACAACATTTATGTGTGTGATAAATAACCATCCTTTGTATTTTTTATTTCCCAAGAAACAACTCATAAGTTGGAAAACCTAGAAATTTGACTTGTTAGTAAGTTGAGAACCCTTCAAGGAAGGTACCGTGATGCCAATGCCAGAGCTCTTGATCTAAAGAATTAGGGCTACCCCCATTTCCTTGCATCAGATTTTATTGCTTCCCATTCTCCCAGTCCCTCTACGGCTCCTATGAGCAGTGGTGTGTATTCATGTGAAGCAAGCATTACTTCCTTTCATTATTAAAATATCTTTTTTTTGTTATAGTATTTAATTGTATATACTGTAGTAATAGGAGTCCAGACTTGTGAAGTTTGTTAGACAGGAGCATTTGCTGCTTGAAAATCTGACCTTGGAATACACTACCTTGGATATACAGTGTAAACTACCACTCTATTACAGAGTAAAATGGTATACCACTGTTAGACATAAAATGCAAATTCTTTCTTTCTTTCTTTCAACACACTGGCCGTATCCCACCGAGGTGGGGTGGCCCAAAAGGAAAAACGAAAGTTTCTCCTTTTACATTTAGTAATATATACAGGAGAAGGGGTTACTAGCCCCTTGCTCCCGGCATTTTAGTCGCCTCTTACAACACACATGGCTTATGGAGGAAGAATTCTGTTCCACTTCCCCATGGAGGTAAGAGGAAATAAACAAGAACAAGAACTAGAAAGAAAATAGAAGAAAACTCAAAGGGGTGTGTATATATATGCTTGTACATGGGTCACCCTGCCTCGGTGGGAGACGGCCGACTTGTTGAAAAAAAAAAAAACATGTATGTGTAGTGTGACCTAAGTGTAAGTAGAAGTAGCAAGATGTACCTGAAATCTTGCATGTTTATGAAACAGAAAAAAGGACACCAGCAATCCTACCATCATGTAAAACAATTACAGGCTTTCGTTTTACACTCACTTGGCAGGACGGTAGTACCTCCCTGGGTGGTTGCCGTCTACCAACCTACTACCTAGTAAAATGCAAATTACAGTATTAATATTCATTACATGGCCCTTTTGCAAATCCACATAAAGAAGTTTCATGTCAGTCTAACGTTTTTAACAAGCCAACCATCTCCCACTGAGGTAAGATGACCTGTAAAAGAGGAAATATTTTCATTGTCTGTCAGTCAGTCACTGTCTTGCCAGAAGTATCCTAACATCAGAGTTCAGATGACTCTCTCTCTCTAAACTGCAACATTCTCACTCCTCCTCCAGAGTGCAGGCACTGTACATCTTACCTCCAGGACTCAGTTCCAGCTAGGCATTAAGCATTCTGATGATGGAATTTTCCCTCAGTATATAATGTCATTGCTGACATAAAAACCTCTGACTAGAGATTTAAGCACAGAAAGCACAGAGTACTTCCAGTGGTCCCTTCACTACTACTACATCCTTACAGAGTGCTGCCAATAACAAAGATATGTGACACCATACTAATAACAGAAATTCATGACACCATACTAAATCAGGTTAATATCATATTTGTAGATTTGGATTAATTAAAATTCTAAGAAATTTTACACCCTCCATCATTTTGTGGATTTAAAAAAGAATTTCCAGGCTTGCTTTTCAGTCATTGAAGTATAACTATAACAATTGCTTTGAGTTTTTTAATAGATCAATTTAGAATTACAGTGGAACCTCAAATATAGAAATTTCTTCGGTCCAGAAGGCTGTTCAAGTGTCGCTACCTAACGAATTTATTCCCATCAGGAATAATGTAAATTAGATTAGTCCATTTCAGACCCTCAAAAATACACTTATAAAAGCACTTACAAAAATACGCTTACATAATTGGTTTAGTTGGGAGCAGTTCGATTTTTGAGGTTCCACTGTACTTATATGTCAGAAGAATTCATAGATAAAACTATAAGAGAAATTTGAGTTTTATAGAGCCAACAGTAAATTAATTTGTGAATTAATTGTAATGGTTTGAGCAGTTTCTAAATCTGTAGAGAGAAGATTCAGTCACAAATAAAATTTTACTCAAAAAATATCAGGGTCAAGAAAGGTTGTAAAGCTTTGATCTTCTATCAACTGAATTATTGCAGAATCTTGAGAACAAGCCAGAATTTTACAGTAAAGTTGCTAATGACTTTGATAAAAAAATATGAAGAATTCCATTGAACTATGTTTAAAATGGTAGTTAAATAATGTTTTATGTTACTACTTCCTATTTTATTTGCTAATGAATCAGTGAAATAAGATGCTTATTATTATTCATGCTAAAAATCAGATATTAATATTCATGGTAAAATATCAGATTTTTTTTTTTTTTAATTTTTTTTATTAACACACTAGCCGATTCCCACCAAGGCAGGGTGGCCCGAAAAAGAAAAATTTTCACCATCATTCACTCCATCACTGTCTTGCCAGAAGGGTGCTTCACACTACAGTTTTAAACTGCAACATTAACACCCCTCCTTCAGAGTGCAGGCACTGTACTTCCCATCTCCAGGACTCAAGTCCGGCCTGCCGGTTTCCCTGAATCCCTTCATAAATGTTACTTTGCTCACACTCCAACAGCATGTCAAGTATTAAAAACCATTTGTCTCCATTCACTCCTATCAAACACGCTCACGCATACCCGCTGGAAGTCCAAGCCCCTCGCACACAAAACCTCCTTTACCCCCTCCCTCCAACCTTTCCTAGGCCGACCCCTACCCCGCTTTCCTTCCACTACAGACTGATACACTCTTGAAGTCATTCTGTTTCGCTCCATTCTCTCTACATGTCCGAACTAAACCCCAACAACCCTTCCTCAGCCTTCTGGACAACAGTTTTGGCAATCCTGCACCTCCTCCTAACTTCCAAACTACGAATTCTCTGCATTATATTCACACCACACATTGCCCTCAGACATGACATCTCCACTGCCTCCAGCCTTCTTTCCCCGCTGCAACATTCATCACCCATGCTTCACACCCATATAAGAGCGTTGGTTTAAAAATGTACTCTCATACATTCCCCTCTTTGCCTCCAAGGACAAAGTTCTTTGTCTCCACAGACTCCTAAGTGCACCACTCACCCTTTTCCCCTCATCAATTCTATGATTCACCTCATCTTTCATAGACCCATCCGCTGACACGTTCCACTCCCAAATATCTGAATACATTCACCTCCTCCATACTCTCTCCCTCCAATCTGATATCCAATCTTTCATCACCTAATCTTTTGCTATCCTCATAACCTTACTCTTTCCTGTATTCACTTTTAATTTTCTTCTTTTGCATACCCTACCAAATTCATCCACCAACCTCTGCAACTTCTCTTCAGAATCTCCCAAGAGCACAGTGTCATCAGCAAAGAGCAACTGTGACAGCTCCCACTTTGTGTGATTCTTTATCTTTTAACTCCACACCTCTTGCCCAAGACCCTCGCATTTACTTCTCTTACAACACCATCTATAAATATATTAAACAACCACGGTGACATCACACATCCTTGTCTAAGGCTTACTTTTACTGGGAAATAATCTCCCTCTTTCCTACATACTCTAACTTGACCCTCACTATCCTTGTAAAAACTCTTCACTGCTTTCAGTAACCTACCTCCTACACCATACACCTGCAACATCTGCCACATTGCCCCCCTATCCACCCTGTCATACGCCTTTTCCAAATCCATAAATGCCACAAAAACCTCTTTAGCCTTATCTAAATACTGTTCACTTTATATGTTTCACTCTAAACACCCGGTCCCCACACCCCCCACCTTTCCTAAAGCCTCCTTGTTCATCTGCTATCCTATTCTCCATCTTACTCTTAATTCTTTCAATAATAACTCTACCATACACTTTACCAGGTATACTCAACAGACTTAATCCCCTATAATTTTTGCACACTCTTTTGTCCCCTTTGCCTCTATACAAAGGAACTATGCATGCTCTCTGCCAATCCCTTGGTACCTTACCCTCTTCCATACATTTATTAAATAATTGCACCAACCACTCCAAAACTATATCCCCACCCGCTTTTAACATTTCTATCTTTATCCCATCAATCCCGGCTGCCTTACCCCCTTTCATTTTGCCCACTGCCTCCGATATTTATTAATATTCATGCTTTAGCTGTATCAGAATGTGTAATATTGTCATTTGCTTGCACTAGCACTGTATTTTCACTACACACTACTATCTACAGGTTTAGTACTTCTTCCATCAATGTAATTCTACAATAATAAGGTACAATATGCACCTTTTTAATATCTTTTTATTTTATTTTTTAAATTTGGATTCATTTATGGAGTACCATTATATTCTTGCAGGTTCCTTCTTCATGGTGTGATAAGACCTCTTGTGGTTGAGCCATTAACCTTGACTGTGGAATATCTTGTTCGCCCTTTCGTGGGTGGCGTATTAAGGCCTCTGCTGCTCAGTGTGCATGGTGCATCAGTGTACTTAAGTGATACCTTAGTAGTGTGCCTGAGACCATTGACTGCTGTGTTACAGTCATTCAGGATAGTCGAGGTTAATTATATTCGTCATCATTCACCCGAAGAAATTTAGATACTCTTTTTTTTTTTTTCTTCAACAAGTCGGCTGTCTCCCACTGAGGCATAGGACATTAAATCACAAATTAACCACACTTAGGAAATTTAAGATGACTTTTCAGTCTGTTCAGGATGTATTGAAACATTGTCACAAGTTTCTTATCCTAAGTGTGGGTTATTTGTGAATTGCTCCAGCTATTGTATTGTGACTTTAATCTTTATATTCTTAGGATATTGTGTTTTTTAGAGATCTTTCTTTCAACGTACCAGCCGTATCCCACCGAGGCAGGGTGGCCCAAAAGGAAAAACGAAAGTTTCTCCTTTCAAATTTAGTAATATTTACAGGAGAATGGGTTACTAGCCCCTTGCTCCTGGCATTTTAGTCGCCTCTTACGACACGCATGGCTTACGGAGGAAGAATTCTGTTCCACTTCCCCATGGAGATTTTTTAGAGATATTAGTGCTTATTTATTTTCAGCTCATATTCAGTTATTTCTAGTTTAATGTAGATTTGGTATACATGTAGATTTTTTGTGTGTAGCTAGTACTGTAAATGTCCATGTATACACTAAGAGAGAAGAGGTACAGAAGAGATACTATAAAGTTCTTTTTCACAGAGTGGTAGATTAACCTTTTGAGGGTCCAGAGGCCAAATCTCAAGAGTTACAGCCAGGGTCCAAGAATTTTCAAAAAAATTTTTTTGTTATTTTTTCTTCTGAAATGGTAGAGAATCTTTTTCTGAAGTTAATAAAGCAAAAAGTATGAAATATAATGGAAAATTGATGAAATTATGCTCTCGCGAATTTTGATTTGTCAGCGATATTTACACATTGGCGATTTTGCCCACTTTGACTCCCATTTTAGGCCAATTGCATTATTCCAGTCGACCAAATTCTTAGCTATTTTGCTAGTATTACTTCTATTTTATCAATTGAGCACAAGAAATCACCCAGTGAACTGTTTCAACTAGCCAATAAAATGATTGGAAATTGGTAATTTGGCCATTTTAACACGAAGTTCAAAATATTCCAATTTCAAAATAGGGTCCAGAATAAACAATGCAGGCATTCCTGGCACTAAAGTAACATTTCTTCTGTTCATTAGTTACATTTTCAGGCTTTACAAATGAATTCCAGTTGATTTTTTATTCACATAATGAAGTTTTTATTCACACCAAAAATAGAAGATTTACTGTTATGCAATGTTGTAATAATTGTATAAATAATATCAGCATATTCGTGAACGTATATTAGACCCACCAGTTGACGCGTATTAGACTCTTGGCGACATTTGTTTGCTCTTGAACTTCGGCAAAAATTGAACATTTCTGCTAATTTGAGCTTAGTTTCAAGCCATTTTCAGTACTAAAACCAATCAAAATCATCTCTATTTCTGTAATATATCTTCCATTCTATCAAATGAGACCAAGAAATTGCGACCTTACGACTGGTTGGTCGGAACCAAGCTTGGTCGTAAGTCAGATGGTAGTGTACAGCTGCAAAAAACATGAAAAAACACTGCAAAGTCGCTGTTTTAATTCAAAATTATAGTCGCAGTTTTTTCTCTCATTATGCACTGTGTGCTGCAGGATTTGTTTTATGTGGTGCACACTTACCACATAGATGTATTCTCTCATAACTAGGCCCAAATTTACCACTCACAGGTTATCTGAGTGAGCTGAGCTCATGGCGTAGCTCGACAGCTTGGACCCTGGCTTCAAAGCTGTAGATCTACAGGACGGACCTTGAAAGGGTTAACCAGTGAAGAGATGCCATGAACACAGTTCTCTACCTGGTGCATAATCACAGACATTTCATACAGTATGATTGATATTCTGTGGTCTGCTTACCTACTTCCAGCAGAACATGACATTGCTTTAGGCATGTGCCTTTTATTTCAGCTGTTGTACTGTGTACAACTGTAATATTTCAAGCTTTCAAGGAAGGTGCTTTGATGCTGCTTATGGGCTCTTTCTCAGGAATTGAAGTTACTCTCCCTACTTCTTTTTCAATATAATAATGCAAACTGCATATTGTGTCTCATTAAGAGACAATGATGCTTATCTTGTCAGCTGTAAGGTTAGATAGGTTAACTCACACAATTGGACTGTTCTTTCACTTTATTACACATTTTACATTATATGAAATGTATCTTTAAATGTCCAGTGGATCACTTTGTGCTCCAACATTATTATGAATAATTTTGTGCCATATTTTATGAGGCATTTTGTATCATCATATACTGAACCATTCAGTGAGGATTACCTGTGTATATGCAATGCATTGTATGGTATAAAAGTGTACTTCAGTGCTGTACTTATGAAGGAGTCACATAATACACAATAGAAGTAGTTTTTTGCCAACAACTTATGTAACACTATTGTAAATATGAGGGAGTGCCAATAGTGAGAATGAACTTAATATTTAAACTTCTGTAAACAATGCTTTGAAATGCTAATTTTTCTTGTAAAAGTGTTTGTGATCCAAGGAATTGGGGAATCCTTCCACTTCCTCTGGTCAAACCTAGTTAAAGAACCTTCCATTCCTCTAGCAATGGATGACCCTTACCATTTTAGCACTTTCCCCATAATAATGATAGTGTATAAATAATGAAAAACAATCTTGATATTTAATTTTTTTAAAGACTTGTATATATAAATACTACATAATGTTTTTATTTTATTTTAATAAGGGAAAAACACTACAAACCCATAAAGGTCACAAAGTGCTTTTGGAATGGAAGGCCATCTGGTTCATTGTAAGGAATGGGAGGATAAGTCCAGTTCCTTGGATCAAATCACTCGGTGGCATCAAGATAGCTTCCTTGAGGGGCCTTAAAGTGTTAAGTTCAACCTAACTATTGCCCATACTGCATGCAATTCTGCCATGTTTTGTGAAAATAATATTGAATAATTTTATTTGATATCTCTGGAGATGCAGTGCATATATTGGTTATTCAAATTTTTATACAATACACAGGGTTTAGCACTGTTTTTTCACACACTGGCCATCTCCCACCAAGGGTGACCTGAAAATGAAGTATTTTTATTGTTGTTCATTCAATCATTATGTGGTACACATTCAGAAAAATAATGAATGTCACTGCCAGTAATCTTTAGATATCATATATCTAAATATAATAATAAATGTATATAGTTCACAGTAAGGTAGAATGTATGAAGGGATTCATGGAAATTGGTTATCCTGACTTGAGTCATGGAGGTGGAAGCACTCTTAAGGAGGAGTGAAGAGGTTGGAGTCCAGAGGGCCATCTGAACTGTTATGTCAGCACACCTCCAGCAAGACAGTAATTGAATGAATAATGGTGAAAGTGTTTCACTTTTATTGGGTCACATAACGTAAGTGGGAGACAGCTTGTGTGAAAAAAAAAATCAGGAAAATTATAAAAGTGCCTTTGCTAACCATGTTTAAATGCCATTAGATTTCATCTATTTTCTTGTAAAGTTACTTATGGTACAAAACTGATGTAGTCATTATTTTCTAGTCAGTGCATAATTTACAAAAGGATGAGATGCCACCAGGGAAGGATTATATAGAATAAGCATTAATTATGTCAGTGTTTTGCTTTATGTAAAGCTTTATAAAGTCATTATGACTTGATACTTTATAGAAAGCAGAACATTGTCAGTGTATTCTTGTTCTGTATACACTCTATCTTTTATTCTATTGCTTATTTATTACCATTTTTCAGTAAATTATTTAGTTTCAAGTCAGTATGCAGTAGCCCAAATTATGGAAAGGAAACATTAGACATCATCGAATGCAGTGGTTCCTTAACTTTTTCAGGCTGCTGCCCCCCTTGGCTTCCAGGCAACAATCCTTGTGCACCCCCCACACACACACATAAATACATATGAACACACCTCTTTCTTGGTATTAGGTTCACTGCAAATTCAAAACAACTAATCTAATACTGTAAATAAGATTATTTACTTCACAAATCAAAATTAATATAGTAAACCAATTTATTTAACAATAAGAAGGGGTAAATTTACATATCTGAAACTACATTGTCTTCACAGTTTTAATGTAATGGATGTGCTTAGTGCAGGGACATCAGCTTCTCAACATCAGGCTTGAAGGCACTAAGTCATCTTAGATCCCTGTGTTCAGTAATTTTCAGTCTGTGTCTTTGCTTAGAAAGAAGCTTGGCAACTGCAGTGAAGCCTCACTGCTAAATATGATGTTGGGAAGGCAATAAAGTCATCTTGACTTTGTTCTACAGTGTAGGGTAGTGGTTAAAAATTATTTTTGGTAGATGGATCTATAATTTCCTAACAAATAGAACATAAAGAGTAGTAGTCAACAGAGTAAAGTCTGAAGCGGCTATGGTAAAAAGCTCTGTTCCACAAGGCACGGTACTTGCTCCCATCTTGTTCCTCATCCTCATATCAGACAGAGAGGGATATAAACCACAGCGCTGTGTCTTCCTTTGCAGACGACTCCCAGATTTGCATGACAGTGTCCTCCATTGAAGACACTGCAAGACTCCAGGTGGACATCAATCGAATCTTTAAATGGGCTGCAGAAAACAATATGAAGTTCAATGATGAGAAATTTCAGTTACTCCGATATGGAAAACGTGAGGAAATTAAAACTGAGTATAAAACAAATTCCAACCATACAATAGTGATAAACTAAAGTCAAAGACCTGGGAGCGATAAGATAAGATTTCGTTCGGATTTTTAACCCCGGAGGGTTAGCCACCCAGGATAACCCAAGAAAGTCAGTGCGTCATCGAGGACTGTCTAACTTATTTCCATTGGGGTCCTTAATCTTGTCCCCCAGGATGCGACCCACACCAGTCGACTAACACCCAGGTACCTATTTGCTGCTAGGTGAACAGGACAACAGGTGTAAGGAAACTTGTCGAAATGTTTCCACCCGCCGGGAATCGAACCCGGGCCCTCCGTGTGTGAAGCAGGAGCTTTAGCCACCAGGCCACCGGGCCACCCATGTCGGAGGATCTCACCTTCAAGGACCATAACATTGTATCAATTGCATCTGCTAGAATAATGACAGGATGGATAATGAGAACCTTCAAAACCAGGGATGCCAAGCTCATGATGACACTTTTCAGGTTGCTTGTTCTATTTAGGCTGGAATATTTCTGCACACTAACAGCACCTTTCAAGGCAGGTGAAATTGCTGACCTAGAAAATGTGCAGAGAACCTTCATGGCACACATAACTGTGATAAAACATTTCAGTTACTAGGAACACGAAGTTCCTCGACCTGTACTCCCTAGAACACAGGCAGGAGAGAGACATGATTATACACACTTGGAAAATCCTAGAGGGATTAGTACCATACTTGCACACAAAAATCACTCTCTATGAAAGCAAAAGACTCGGGAGGAGATGCAACATTTCCCCAATGAAAAGCAGGGGCGCCACCAGTACACCAAGAGACAGCACTAAGTGTCAGGGGTCCAAGACTGTTCAACTGCCTCCCAGCATACATAAAAGGAATTACCAATAGACCCCTGGCTGTCTTCAAGCAGGCACTGGACAGGCACCTAAAGTCAGTACCTGACCAGCCGGGCTGTGGTTCATACGTTGGATTGCGTGCAGCCAGCAGTAACAGCCTGGTTGATTAGGCCCTGATTCACCATGAGACCTGATCATAGACTGGGCCATGGGGGTGTTGACCCCAAGAACTCTCTCCAGGTATACTCCAGGTAAAAATCAGTTCTTCCTCCACCATTCCCGTGTCCTCATTGCTGATATCTAGGAATGGATCACCCAGTCTGATATTTTAAGAAAAAAAAAAAAAAAAATTCCTGAAATCCCTGAGATTTCTCTACGCAGCTCACTCAGGGGTGCACAGTACTTGAAGGTCAGTGTCTAGTATGCTCTTCTCCAATTCAGAGAGGCTCGGAAACTGGGAGAGCTAATGATAGGCTATGTTACATCTGAATAACTGTAACCTGGACAGAACAGTGGAAAGGGCTGATTTGACTTTGATAAGATTAACCTCATTTCTTTGCAATTGCAAGCATTGCCATGCTTGATGGTTTTTAGGTCATGACACAGAACAAAATTGGAGTCTTCGAAGAATTCAACAGTTGAAGAGAAATGTCTCTGGAAGTTTCCCTTTGACAGTCATCTAACTTTTGTGTGAAACAACAAACATTCACAATCTTCTTCATTCTCAATGTATAGCTGTCAAAGCAATTGGAAATTCAGAGCATGTGCCTTGGTTTTATTTACTGCTGTGATAATAGTACTTAATGATGTGTGAAGTTGACTACTTAGGCTTTTTTTCAAGCAGATGTTGCCTGTGGATTACACACTGAACTGTCAGCCCACCAGGTACAGCTTTTTTCAAGAAACTGATACAGCCACAATGACTACCTGTTATCGATGGTGCCCCATCTGTTGCACAAGCAAGAATGTTAGAAAGCGGGAGGTCTTTGTCTTTGAAAAAATTCTCAACAACACGAAATACTGACTTCCCTTCTGTATCTGTTTCTAGTTGTCTTGCAAATAACAGCTCTTGAACCAAACTTTCATCTCTGACAAAACGAACATAAGCAAGAAGCAAAGATTCATTGCCTACCAGAGTAGACTCGTCTAATTGTGAGCCAAATGTTGTCGTCTTAAACATGTTGCACAATGTGACATCAGCCATGTCATTCACTCTTTTTTGAAAAGAGTTATCACTGAGAGGAATAGTTTTAATAATTTGTTCAGATGACTTTTGTAAAACTGTGCGCAGAACTTCACTTACTACTAACAGAATAAGCTCTTCCTCAATTGTATGAGGCTTACCAGATCTAGCAGTCACCAACAAGATATTGTATGATGCACACAAACCATCACTGGATTGTTGTGATGTGCTAGCAAACATATTTCCAATGGTTTTCCGTTTCTGCAGGTTTTCTCAAAATGACTGAAAATATGCTAAGTTTTCATCTGTTTTACCAGAGTTATTTCCTTCAAATGTTCAAAAAAGCTTGGAAGGTTTCATGGCTTCATTTGAAAAGGCTTTTACATAGTAGGCACATTGGTTGCTGTTGGTTATTTGATGCTGATACAAATTCATATTTCAGATATTCCAAACTGTACTGCCTACACTTCTTGTTTGTCTGCTGTGCTGCAGCCGTATTTTATTCATGAACAAAAAAAAAATATATGTTCTTTGTAAAAATCATGCCATTCATAACAAAATGCAGCAGAAAAAACATAAGGAAATATATAGCGATGTACATGACAATAAAACAAGTATGAATGTTAAGCTAAAAATCAAATACCTAAGACCTGCAAATCACAGCCTAAGCACAGCAACACTTCCACACCCTTTGATGTCCCTCCATCAGTACCATTTATTCATATCTTTATTATATTACACTTTAAAATGTACACTTACAAGACGGAAGATAACTTGCAGTGTATAGAAACCTAGATAGAGCCTTGGCCCTTGCAGACATAAAAATCCGATCATCACCAGTACAGGATCTGCTGTCTGATCTCCCTGGCATGTGGCATGTCTGAACAAACATTTAGACTTTTAATTCTGACTTTGGACCACAAAATAAAATAAAACTATGCTTTCATGTATAGCTCTGTTAATTTTATACTTTGTAAAGAATTTGTATTACTTAATTGTTCATGATCTTGATTTTGTCATATACATTTTGTAAAACAAATGCTCCCTTGGTTCTTATGCCACCTTGCTGCCTCCCCCTACCACCCCCTTTTTTCTCAATGCCCTTCTGGATCTTTCCACTGCCCCCTTAGGTTGATACCACCCACTTTAGGAATCACTGATCTAATGGAAAAGCTGTAACACTGCTTTGTATTTTTGGTAATATAATATGCATTTGTAAGTGTGGGTTGTTTGTGAATTGTTCCAGCCATGGCATTGTGATTTTTATTCTTTTAGCCTTTTCAGGTCGAGACCCTGCACTGACGTATTTGTGTTCCTCTGGCAAGACAGTGATAGTGTGAATGATGGTGAAAGTGTTTCTTTTTTGGGTTACCCTGCCTCGGTGAGAGATGTCCAGCATGCTGAAAACAGAAAAAAAGAACAGAGGAGCATTATTTGTGAATGGCTCTTGATTCAAGGAACTGGAACTGCCCTTACCTTCCTTTAATCAAACCTGAGCATTTTGCCCATTCCCTGGGTTCTATATGACCCTTACACGTGCTTTCCTATAACTTTTATGATAGTAAGGAAACATACATTTAGCCACTGAGAATATAAAGTGTTTACACATGCAGTTATGTAAATAATAGTATAATTAATACATATATATATACAGCGGTACCCCGAGTTTCAAACTTTCTTCGTTCCAGAAGGCTGTTCGAGTGCCGTTACTGAACGAGTTTATTCCCATAAGGAATAATATAAATTAGATTAGTCCGTTTCAGACCCCCAAAAATACACTTACATAACTGGTCGAGTTGGGAGCAGTTCGAAATGCGGGGTACCACTGTATATACATATACCACTGTATATATATTTAACAAACCAGTTATATCCCACTGAGGCAGGGTGACCCAAAAAAGAAAGAAACACTTTCGCCATCATTCAATACTTTTGCCAGCATTCACACAGTATCACCTCTGTCTTTGCAGAGGTGCCCAGATATGACAGTTTAGATGTCCCAAAAACCCCCTTTAAAGTGCAGGCATTGTACTTCCAATATCCAGGACTCAAGTCCAGCTAACCGATTTTCCAGAATCTCTTCACAAAATATTACCCTTCTCATACTCCAACAGCTTGTTAGGTCCCCTAAACTATTCGTCTTCATTCACTCATCTAACGTGCTCACACATGCCTTCTGCATGTTCAGGCCCCTTCCACACAAAACCTCTCTTACCCCCTCCCTTTCATCCTTTCCTAGGATGACCCCTACCCCTCCTCCCCTCTACTACAGATTTATACACTCTCTAAGTCAACCTATTTTGCTCCATCCTCTCTGACCAAACCACCTCAATAACCCCTCTTCAGCCTTCTGAATAATTCATTTAGTAACTCTACACCACCTGATTTCCACACTACAAATTTATTATTTATTTTTTTTTTATTATCACACTGGCCGATTCCCACCAAGGCAGGGTGGCCCGAAAAAGAAAAACTTTCACCATCATTCACTCCATCACTGTCTTGCCAGAAGGGTGCTTTACACTACAGTTTTTAAACTGCAACATTAACACCCCTCCTTCAGAGTGCAGGCACTGTACTTCCCATCTCCAGGACTCAAGTCCGGCCTGCCGGTTTCCCTGAATCCCTTCATAAATGTTACTTTACTCGCACTCCAACAGCACGTCAAGTATTAAAAACCATTTGTCTCCATTCACTCCTATCAAACACGCTCACACATGCCTGCTGGAAGTCCAAGCCCCTCGCACACAAAACCTCCTTTACCCCCTCCCTCCAACCTTTCCTAGGCTGACCCCTACCCCGCCTTCCTTCCACTACAGACTGATACACTCTTGAAGTCATTCTGTTTCGCTCCATTCTCTCTACATGTCCGAACCACCTCAACAACCCTTCCTCAGCCCTCTGGACAACAGTTTTGGTAATCCCACACCTCCTCCTAACTTCCACACTACGAATTCTCTGCATTATATTCACACCACACATTGCCCTCAGACATGACATCTCCACTGCCTCCAGCCTTCTCCTCGCTGCAACATTCATCACCCACGCTTCACACCCATATAAGAGCGTTGGTAAAACTATACTCTCATACATTCCCCTCTTTGCCTCCAAGGACAAAGTTCTTTGTCTCCACAGACTCCTAAGTGCACCACTCACTCTT